TATGCCCACCCCTCTCGACTTCTTTTTCACTTTGATGTTCCTTCCCCTCTGTGAAGCCTGAAGTCAACTACATGGCTAATGATAACTATCAAAATGCCTGTCATTTGACATAAATAAAGTTCTTATAATCTTTTCAAAACAGGAGAGTGAGATTTACCATTAAGGTCAGGCAAACAAAACGTGTCTGAAACCTGTTTGAGTGGCCACATTTGTGTGACTTGTTTGAACAAGTGAACAAGAGGGATAGATAATTGAGCGGTAAAGTACCTTTTTAAAATGGGCAGCATGGCGTTAGGATATGAAGTTAGTATTCTAAAAGGTGGAGACAATGTCAAGTGAGCTAAATCATTCATGAAAAACGAAGTTAGGGAAAGTAGGGCTCTCCTGTGATAAGCTAATTACCTTTGCTACTTCTACTTATATTAAAACTTTTCAACATTAATTGGAGCAAACCTTGGTGTGATGGAAGCATAGAAAAATCAGGCTATTAAGAACCCGTATCTAGTGCCACGTTTTCAAGGGAGTTCATTCCAATTTGCAGACCAACACCGAATTATAACAATTGAACTTGATAAACTCACTATGTTAACCGATACTACTAATAAATAATTAACACAGCCCCTAAGCAATCTCTATGGAGAGACAAGGGGAAAGAATCGATGACACGAAAGTAATGTTTATTAGAACCCACCTTGGGTTTAACATGAGCCGACTTAGACAGCTGAAATCGTTCCTCAACACGCCGCCAAAGGAGAAGGTGCTTTGTAAGTATTTTCCAGTTGGCAAGAGCGCGTTCACTTCGATCTGCAGCTTCTGCAGCCTCTGCATTCATCTTAACAGCTCGCCATGCATCAAGGAGGGCCGGTAGGACCTCCTTACACACTACAAAACCATCGTATTCAGGGTGGGCCCAACCGGCTTTACCGAAAGACCAACCGATCATCGCTGGGGCAAAGTCAATATGCAGTTGCTTCATAATGTGCTGAATGCCTGCGGTGAAGAAATTTTGCATTACAAGCTAATGGTAGTTGAAGTACTTGGAGGTGGACTAGTAAAACAGCTATTAAAGCAGGCACATATGGACTTACTTCTAAACTGAAAAGGTAATGACCGAGTTTACCATTTGACTAGTGGTCGATTAACACAAAACAATGCTTCAGTATCAAGAACAAAACGCTTGGAAAGAAATCTAGGCAGGCACACTCTGAAGTTTTGGATCTGGAGCTTCAGATTCCACTATCGTCAAGTACTAACAGATGGGGCATTTATCACTGAGGCGGATTCTAACGACTACCACAACTTCGCAGGTGAGTGTTGGAAAACAAAAGTAACTTTACCGTCAGGGCTTGGGTTACCCGTACTGCCATTAAAATTAAGTTAAATTCCATTATTTAAAAAAAAATTAGTAAATTGTGTTTTCTATTATAAGTGAAAACTAATTCAAATAGGAACAGCTGTATTCAATTTAGTAAAGGCTAATCAAGTGCGACAATAGAAAAGTTAAAGTCATTCGAAGAAATGAAATATCTTGAATAAAGAAATGAGTTATATGGAATGCTTCCTGAAGCAATTGGGGGCTCATATGACGCAATGATTGTTTAGACCAGAAAATAAACATCTTGAATGCTAGATGTCATGAAAAATAATCGGCTTAAAAATGTACTCACCAGGTAGCCTGATATGAACGCATCCAATTGGAAGCATACAAGCCTTAAAGAGCTCCACATTACCGTGTTCATTGCGAGGAACAACTCCATCCTTCGCAACCGGAGGCACGTAATCATCCACCTGCCATGGACCGAATAATTCCACCATCGGTTGTTTGCCATCTTGATCTTGCAGTAGCTTTCGTTTTATTGTCATCATAGCTTTCACAATTTTGGCTGGCTTCTCCCCAATTCGTACAATCTATATGCAGAAAGAAAATCCCTCAGTGAGTGCTTAAGCTACTTTAAGAATTGCCACTAGTATTGGTAGAAGTTGCAGAGCATCCACCTTAGAATAAGAGACAATATCTGCCTAAAGGACATTCTTCAACAGATTATGGAAAGTAGTGTTCAGTCTCTAGGACCAAACCCCGTTGTCGTTTGATCAAACAGGTGTAGAATTAGTAATATTTCTAAATGAAATTAGCATTATTACCCACAGTGAATCCCAAACTAAAATTAAAGCGAACAAGATGCCAAACAAATGGTAAAGAGTAGAGACGAATTAACAGGTTGTCTTACATTGTGTGAATTCGGATTGGAGCTGTAAAAAATTACTAATTAGGCATCTCGTGATTCGACATTCTAATTTCCTCACTTGTTCTCTGGAAAGGAGAAAACGCTCTTTTATAAATCAAGAAGTTCCAGTCTTGTCACTGTAATTTGGCGTTTCCAAAGGCGAAATTATTTTTTTTCTTGATATTGAGCAAAAATGAGATAGCAAAACACCTGGATTTGCAGAACTAAGTAAGATGTGTTCACTTATAACGAGCAATTTATTGAGAAAGGCAAACGAAACGAAGTGACATGACAGAACCCTCAATTCAATTAACTAGTCAATAAGCTCTGAGCATCGAAGTCCACTCAGAAGTAAAACCCCAAAAAATGGCACAATTGGGGGAAGATGCAGAAAACTACGAGTATTAAAAAAGGCGAAAAAAGTGATTGAATTTAAAATATATATGGGTGCTCATTTGATGTACTATTTTATGACCTATAGCGACACGACCTATCCACTTGAACTATAATTAAAACATTCTAAATGTAAAGAAAAAGCAAATCGCAATCCTCCGATCTCTCATATAAAAAAAATTCACAACTTTGCAAAATAAACTTTTCATACACATGAGCTACAAAAAATAGGCAACTTGCACTAATATTTAATAATATGGAGCCTAATATAATACAAAAGACTCAAAATATAGCAAACCTTAGCTTCTTTTAACCAAGATTCTCTTGTATGGCACAGGTGAACACATTCCCGTGGATAAACCGGCTCAGTACTTTGATTTGCCTTCGCTCCCACCTTAAAAAATCCAATTACAGGCGCATCGTCCGGATAAATCACTTCAAATTTGAGAAGATGCCTTCGCAAAACATACAGTGGATGATTCTTAAAATCTTGCACCTTAGTTGGTAAGGGAAGAGTTCGAAGATAATCAAACGTCCTTTCTGTATCTGCCGTATCTCTGCGTTCCTCCGCCTTAGTGTTGTCGCGTTCTCGAAGATTTACAACGTCGCCATCACAGTAGTATTTTATCGACGAGAGAAATTGTTGGTACTGAGCATCAGGGATGCGATTACATCGAGAAGCAGACATCCAAGTTGGGTCGTAACGAGGGGCTAAATCGATAGGACTTCTACCAAGATAACCATTCTCTGTAGAAGTAAAAGCCACAACGTATGGATAATGAAAAGGGGAGGAAGAGAATTCTGCAGTGACTTTGCCAACGGGAGGTGACAAGTCCAAACTATACCAGATTCGATCTGAGGATAAGTAGACTTCAGCAGAGAACATGAACTTTGATTCGACTTGTATATCATCGTCACTATCAGAGGAGATTATTTTATCACTGTGCGTCTCTTTAAGGGGTTTGAGGGTTTTAATTGGTTTGGATTTCGGGGGTTTCAAGGGAGGAGGTGCAAAGGCAAGAACAAGACGCGTATCAAATCCAAGTGCACGTAATCCAGCAACCATTAGGATGCAACAATCATCCGCCGAAGAGAATCCATCTTTCAATCGTGACTGAATACCTTCTATCATGTCGACAACTTTAACTTCACGACTAGCTTTAATGAGAGAAACGAAGGATAAAACTAGAAATCGTAGAGACGAAACATCTTTAACCTCCGACACTTCAATTAGCGAAAGTCCGAGAGCACGAATAAGTGGATCATCACAAAGGCGGTTTATAAATCGACCAAGAGTGAGAAAACACATGACATGAAAAGAGTGAACAAACCGAGCCCTTTGTCGAAGTTCTCGAGCATTCGCCAAAGCAGCAAGCACTTCTGGATCGCGATTAGTTGATTTTGTCTTCACAGTACTCACAGAAACTTTAATCTCCCCCTTATCAACGACTTCCGTTAATTCTTCTTCGTCTTTTGTAAAAAGTTTACCCATAAATTCAATTTCCATTTGAGTTGATATAGGAACGTTGACGTCATCATTCAAAAGATTGGGAACTTCTTCAAATTCATCCTCGTCGGTAGATTCGCTGGCACTATTTATCTGCTCCAAGCAGGCTGCCTCACTTTTAATTTTCTTCCTTGCTGTTCGGGTGGATCTTTTGACGGCCTTTGGGGCAGATTCGGTAGGCTCCTTTAAATTGCGCTTAGCATTGGATTTCCTGGCAGTTCTTCGAAGGGTGGTCTTTATTTTTGGAGATGGTAAAAACTCATCAATACTACTTGCCGTTGATAAATCCAAGTCAGAATGATTCTCAAAATATTTAGATTTTTTCGCACGTTGACGTGTTCGAACTTGAGGCATATCAATCAATCCTAAATTCACCTATATAAAACCAATCCTGATTTACGGTAAATATGCGCTTATGTATATTTGACTATTGTGCAAGGTAATATCAAGTAGTAAAATACAAAATGTGGTAACATTTTGCTAATTCACAGAAATCTTAATAATGAAATTGCTAAAAAACAAACTATTTAAGCGAAATTAAATATTTATACATTTTGAATACTCCCGACTTTACTTGAAAGAACTTTGGTTAGTAATCTCAAAATGAAAATTAAATCAAATAATTTTAGATTATTAAAATAGTGTACAAATATTTTTGACTAAGTAATATATTCATAAATCGAATTTATAAACTCTCATTACATATTTTGGAGCATATCCTATTTAGTTCGGTTAATTATCTTTCTCTTTCACATTATTATTGCCTAACTTGATATCTATATATATTAGAAAACTTGTGGCTGCTTATTAAAATCTCATATTTGAAGTATCAATATATTTTTCCTTTTTTGTCATCCTAGCAAAGTCAGACATATTATACTAATATATCACATATAAAACACTGCAATTCGTATTATTCATAATAATGGTACATATGCCTTCGAAACAAAATGTCACAAATAGTCTTTAAAACTATTTGATGGTTTATGAATATACGGAATAATCTGAAATAATAACATTACTAAACAAAATAGTAATGGTGTTTTCTTTTACTTCCTTTCTGACAACCGCCTAGTTCTTACGTCTTACTAAAGCGATATCCATAAATTCTCAGTGCTGATTCACTCACTATATATTCTAGTAGTCAAAATAAAATGGCAAAACAGTAAGAAATGAAATTTAATTAGGTATGACAAACACACCTAGGTATGAAACTCGTTGAAATCCCCATATTGCAGCTGCCAAATTTAGAAGTATACCTTGTAAAAATTAAAATGCTTTTAATGTAAAGTTTCATTAATTTTATTCTCTTTGTCAACTTTCACTCGTATATTATGCATAATTGTCATTGTTATAGGTTACTAGTATTGTTTGAAATTTGGGAGGGTTTCATTATATGGTTAGCAATAATATACTAATTCTTTTTTCTATTTGTGATTATGAAAGTCGTTGTTAGACATAAGCGAGTGCCCAATGGATTAAGTCTGCGAATTTCTTGAAGGAACACAGAAGCTAATCAGGCAAGTTATTCGGTGAAATTACAATGAAAATGCCTGAACTCTCAAGAACTTTCCAAAATATTTGCAGAGGATTTTCGTGAAACAAATAGTTAACTACTATATTTTGACATATACTACAAATTTTCAACTCAAAATTATGGAAATCTTTCATTTGAATCAGCCAAAGTAGGTCCAAAGCACAAAATGTAAATTTCCCATTTCCATTTGGAAATTATCTACTTCTATTCAAGCTCGTGGTGGTCTTGGGAACATGCGGCAATTTTAAGATACTAACAAGTAACTTTCAGGCATTATTCATTGATATTAACAATCAATATATAACGAGAGATATGGTGAATGAGGTCTAGGATGAGATCTAGTGAAGATGAATGATATGGGAGAACCTCCCAATTTTATTCCAGATATTTTTAGAGGGCCATTCTTACTTTGCGTGATCGACTTGGCGTTATTGTTATGTAAATGAATGGTCACTTAACTATTGACCAAAAACTTTCACGTTATGCTTGTAATTTCCAGCCCACCACCAAATGCATTAAAAGAAGCTTCTTTGATGTCAGTCGAGGGTGGAATGCATGTTCTATTTGAGATAACCATTATTTTTCCCAAATGATCTACATCTCATCCTCAGTAATAATTTGTGGTAGAAGAGAGAAGCACGTGCTTCTCTGCTCGACTTTATTGGACTGGGAATCGAAAATGAATGCAATTTCGTGGTGAAAGAGACAGTCTCCAACATCAACTAGAAGGCAATTTACAGGTGGAAATAAAGATTGCAATAGTGTTGGGAAAACACTGGAGCCTTTTTGGACAAATGGATGTAAGCACTTGTTAGTGGAAATATGAGCTCACCACTTATTGCATGTCAACTTTTGTCTCCATCTAAACATATATTGCTATACCTTTCACCATTGTAGAATGTTGAATGGAAAGAATAAATTTCCGAAATGTCAATTAGTTGAAATGAATTGTTTGTAAATTTTCAATGACATTTGAACTCAACTTTCTAGAGAAGTGGTTTCCAAGAGAAAGTTGTCTCTTCGATTAAATTCTTTATATCTACTTTTTATACTTATTGTCAAGGGGTGTGCGATAGACTTACCCCCATGTGGTGCACCCTGGGCAACGTATTCTCATACGGCAAAAAAGTCTATTAACCGGCAGTTGACCTCTCACTTAATACTGTCATGACTTGAAAATTTCAAATTAATGATAGTGTGCCCGACAATATATTCTGCATTCATCAACTTTATCGTCTTTTTGGGATTATAATAATACATTCCTTCAAAATAATTGCAAGAAATAAAGAAAGACTATTAATTTTGATTCTTACAGTATTTCTCCAAAGCGATCTTGAGCAATGAAAACATAAATTAAGCCACAGTAGTCAAAATGGTTCCGTTCGAAAGATACCGGATTAACGAGACTGATCCTCAAAGCCGATAAAATAAATTCTACTCGATTTAGTTTTATTAACCTAACTAAGAGGCGCTTTCAAGTTTATAACGAAGTATTGCTATTGTGCATGCGGAATGTTTATTTATATCAAATGGCAGGCGTTGTGAAAGTTACCATTAGCCCTTTAGTTGACTTCAGACTTCACAGAGAGGGAGGAACATCAAATCGAAAAAGTCGATAGGGGGGGGGGGCAGAGGAGTGTTTCAAAGATGTAAAAGAGACAGATACAAAAGTGGAAAAAGGTGAGGTGGGTACTGTGTAAGTAGTTGAATATGACATACAATGGGGTGAGGGTAGTTTGAAGTCAGAAGTCAACTGCCGGTTAATAGACTTTTTTGCCGTATGAGTATACGTTGCTCAAGGTGCACCACGTGGAGGTAAGTCTATCGCACACCCCTATGCGGAATGTAATAAATAGTAATAATAATAATGTAATAATAGTAATAATAATAAAACTCATTTGCAAACACTCTCTGCAACACCTCATCCGAAGCATCCAACTACCTCCCCTTTAGATCCAATAGCACACTTACTAACACCTTTAAATGCACCAAATACAAGAGGGACCGAAATTCCCCCCCCCCCCCCCCCCCAAAAAAAAAACTGTAAACTCTCTCCCAGGATAGTAAAATTACCTTTCTCTCCTGCATTATCATAGGAGATGATTTGGGGTTATGTCATTCTACTTAATACCAACACAAACTTCTCCATTACCCGTGATATCATGTCTATTTCAATTGCGAATATGAAAAGTGTGTGCATCTGGTGCGACTCAAGTCACCTAACTCACATAGAGAGAACTCACAACATTCATTAAGACATTCACTTTTGCCTTCCCTGCATTATTACCAAACTTCACTTATCTGTATTCTCATTTAAAGTAAATTTCAGCCCCCTCTATATCCAGAATGAAAAGGCATGAAGTTTTAAAATCAACAAACAAATTTACCTTAATTTTTGATAACATCGCTCTTCACACTATTTCACCCGTAGTTAGGGAAAAAGTCTACATTAAATGCAACCTTTGTTTATAACTACAAAATTTTGCATACGTTCACAAACCCTTCTTTCAGTATAAATTTATCTTTCCGTCCAATAAAGACAGACTTCTCAATTATGCCGCACACACTCACACAAACACACGGAATAAATGACTGATTTACTTACTGAAGCAACTTAATAATTAGCGTCATTGATTCTTTCTTTGTTACTGATTGATTTATACGTCGTTATGTTTATTGTAAACGAGCTTTGCTAAGAAAGTGAGCCGACAAGAATGGAAGCCTCCATTTGGCACATTCTCTACTGAGGTGACCGGACGAAACTTGTTGAAGAGAAGAGCCAATATGGACAAAGCAAAAGGAAGTGAGAGCTGAACTACTTTTGCAATGAGCAACACTAAAAGACTACCATCATTATCAATATGACAGTTATCTGTAATTTGTTAATTTCATCGGTAGTTTTAACAATTAAAAACTTGATTCTTTGATTTACCTTCTTCCTGCAATCCCTCAAAGTAGTATAAAGCTATCTCATCTGCCCTTTCTGTTTTTGGGTAGTTACCATGCTAAACAATTAATGATTTTTTTAGCTTACCAAGTGAAATAATAGCACTTATAATAAAGACAAAGTAATATTTCGGACACGGGGTGTACGATAGACTTACCTCTACGTGGTGGACTATGGACGACGTATACTCATACGGCAAAAAGTCAATTAATCGACAGTTAACTTCTCACTTTAAACTCCCATCACCCCACTGTATGCCATTTTCGACTAATTTCACAGTACTCATCTTACCTTTTCTCTGCCTTCAAGTCTGTTTGTTTGTCTCTTTTACATCTGTGAATCATTCTTCTGTTTCTCATCCCTCAACTTTTTGTCACTTTGATGTTTCTTCCATCTGTGAAGCCCGAAGTCAGCTGAAGGGCTAATGATAACTATCAAAACGGCTGCTATTTGAAAAAAATAATTAATCAACATTTCGGACACACATTATAGAATAATGTCATAAATATTCAACCTCAAGTTCGAGACAATAGATCTTTTCAGATTCTATGCCCTCCAATAAATGCCGAACTCCTGGAAGACTGTATATCTGCATGTGGCTTGGCCTCCTTTCATACATTGATTTCCCCTCCTTTTCTGATTTTGGCTTAATCCTCTTCTGGCAAGTTACTTGTCAATTTGTATATGTCACCTAAGTTTCGGTGACTTAAGTGAGTGCACACAAAGGCCTTTATGTATTGTTCGATCAAAATTCGCATATACTGCTGACACTCTTCCAATTAAGGGGATATTTTGCCCAAACCCCTAAACCCCAAAACCAGTTTATCTTTAAAGTAGCAGATTACGAAATCATAATAAATGTATTTTAATTCAGGGTTCATTAATATTCAGAGTTATACATGGCATCTTCCCATGTCATGTTAAGTAGAACGGAAGCCATCAACTATAACTAGGTATCCTCTCATTCCGGTTTTGATTTCAATTTTCATCATTTAAAAAAGTGGAATATTCCACCAAGCGAATAATCTACCCATTAAATGCATATTGTCTACCCCAAATCAGAAGGCAGTTTTCAAAACCATTGTCACGTTTATTACATCTTTCCTAAAGAGATTAGATAGAAATAGGCAATATGACAAAATATAGAGAATAGAAATCATTATCGGTAAGTTTTCTTGATCATTTGAGCTTCCTTACACGACAGTAATTGTCTATACAATGATCGGCATATTTTCGTTCAATTCCTGGAACCGATTTGGCCTCCTTGTAGTAAGTATTAAGGTGAATTTTACAAAAAATTTTCCTTGGATGCATAATGCTATCATAGAGACGATTCAACGCCGTGGATACGTAGATAGGCGAGTGATTGAAGATCATCTTTGGATGAATTAGGATACTGTTGAAAGTCTCCGCATTGGACCATATGGCAATTGGTGGGGGTTGATAACCAGGCCTAAAAATATTGAAAATCAATGTCAGATCAACAATGAATCGAAAATAACGAAGAAACTCTCCAATGTGTTTGAGTTCAAAACATTTTTTTAATCAATGTAATCGATCGAGGAGAGTTTGAAGATAAGTATTGGCTCTGAACACTTGGACACATTAAAAAATTAATTTCAAACATCAAAAATATCTTTTAGTCAAACAGAGTATGCACAATTTATACATCTAAAATTTCCAACTATTTATTTCCAAATTGTTTTATTTTCACAATCTTGTAGCTTATTTTGCAAAAGCGCATTACCTCCAAAATGGAATTGAGAGTTATTATTAGAATGGGAAAGATTAGAACCGTCATAATTTAAAGAGTTTGGGTCATTTTATTAGATGCTAAAATCCGCTCCTCTACTGAAAACTTTAATAAGGCTCACAATTTACAGATCATTGTATCAATGCCTCTGGAATTACTGACAAACTATGGGAAGGAGAAGGCTGTTAAACATATTGATACTTTTTTTAGATTTCACCTTGAGGAACAACAGCTAAATTGAAACTGAGGCTAACTCCTCTGCGGTATGTTGAAACTATTAGCTGACTAATAAAAAGCCAGATTATTTTGCAATTTGAAGAAAAGAAACGAATTGATGTAGGGGAACCGGTCGATCTGGACAGTTCAGAGACTACCATTTGCTTCAACCTAGTTGACAAATCAAGAGCTGAACAAACTGAGCAAGTGGTATAAAAAATAACCCAAACCTGGCAATCAGATGGAGTAAGATCCTTTGAAATATTGAAGCTGCTCTCAGAATGGTGTCACCCTTCTGTTTATTGGACTCTCCATTAAAATGTGTTGAATGTTTAAAGAGTTGCGTTATTAGGGATTTCTTATTATTGATCAGAGTATTCATCACAAAACGGTCACTGAAAGTCACGTGGAGGGGAAAGAAGTGATCGCACACATAACATTGCGATTTTCATAACTCAAATGACATTTTAGGTATCTTTGTGTAGAGAAATACCATATTTCATAAAAGAATTAAACTTTGCTCAACTTCTACTCTCCGTTTCTTGCATATTTTCACAATTAGACATAAGAGATCTATGGCTAGATATTCAGACGTCTGGAATCTGCTAATTTACTGGAACACTATGAAGGTTCGGCAGCAGGCTGTTCGAGTACAATGTTGGTAATAGATAGTTGGATGGATACACAATCTTCAGAGTAACTTGAGTTACATGTACTTGACCTACACTCTAGATTTCATGAAAGAAGTTGAAAATTTCCACCTTTTCCCTTGACACAAATGTCTTAAGTCAGTTCATATTCTCTTGATTTTGGATTAAAACTTGAGAGATGACACCAGATCCGCTTCAAAGTCTTCTCTGGCTTAAGAGGAGCAACCTATTGGACATTGGCTTACGACAGGAGGACTTACCTTAACTTTGTAAATGGCCCCCGATAAAAATGTAAAATCTTAGAGATGCTTTGCATCTGGAAAGAAACTCAAGTGCATTAAAATGTTCCTTGCTCCCTAGGTTAATTAGCAGGTGCAAATCAGACACTGATTCAGTAATTTAAAAAAAACTTATTGTGAGTTTTGTGGGGTCTCACAGTACACGTGATTTACGATTGCCAATTTTATCATTTTTTTGTAATGATCAGCTAATCCTCTTTTGGTCAACGAGGCGTCCTATCAATGTGTGGCTTCGCACGATTTGGCAGTTTGTTGGGATAAATTGTCATTAGTGTTTGGCTGTCGCCGTTTTTTTCATAATTAACAAACTAAACTTGAGACCAGGTAAGGCAGATTGGCAGTAATCTCCTCCCCATCACCCACCCCCCCCCTCTCCCTCCTACAATTTGACCCCTGACCCAATAAGTTAGGACTTTAAAAATTGTTAGTCTGAAACCATAGCGGGTTGTTAATAACACTGAAACAATTCACCAACTTGCGCGATAGACTTGCCTCCATGTGGTGCACCCTGGGCAACGTATACTCATACGTCAAAAAAGTCTATTAATCGGCAGTTGCCATCTCACTTCAAACTACCATCACCCGACTGAATGTCATTTTCGACCCCTTTCACAGTACTCATTTTACCTTTTCTCTGCCTTTGTGTCTGTCTGTCTCTTTTAAATCTTTGAAACACTCTTCTATTCCCCCCTCCCGACTTTTACTCACTTTGATATTCCGCCCCTCTGTGAAGTCCGAAGTCAACTAAAGGGCTAATGATAACTATCAAAACACCTGCCATTTGAGATAAATAAATAAATCTCCCAACTTGCCATCAAAGTTTTAGGCTCCTTTTTCTCTTTGTTCACGCCATTATGTGCGGGCTTGAAAGTCATGTGTTGGAGGGAGGGAGGGGAGGGAGGGAGAGGCTTAATCTAGGTCATTTCACGGAACACTGTTCAAAGAACTGAAAAGATGTGCCCATTCGATCCTATCACTTATTTCGTGTAGATAATAACAATAATCTGAGGAAAACGGGTGACGACCTACTAACTCCTCATAAGTCATTACGAAAGCACGCAGATAAACTACATAAACACTTTCGATTTAATTTGACATAATGAATCCTATACAAGTTCCATGCTCAACCTAAAAGGGAGTTCAAGACTGAGATCATCTCGACTTTTTGGTGTGAAATACGTCAAAAGTTGGTAAGGTGAATACCTATGGTTACATACTATTATTTACGATTTTCCTTTTAAGAAATTAAAATACCTTTTACATGACTCCTGTTAATTTTTACAATAACTATTAACCTTTTTTTCAGTTTTGGAAAAATAATATAAACTCAAGCATCCTGTACACTGTTCAAATTGAACTATTGGGTTGGCAACTAAGTCATTGCCGTTTTTGTTGACAGATTCACTCTATACTTTCTTTTGTTTTGTTAACGTGGCCAGAGCATCTAACCTATATTTTTTTCCTACTGTATGGGCTTCTAGGTTAATTAGTAAAAAATTTTTTGGTTTAGTTCTTTAGTTTTGTTTTATCCCAATTTAAAAATGAAAGAACAGGACGTGCACTTCCGACACATTTTATTGTATTACTTCCGAAAAGGCAAGAACGCATCGCAAGCACAAAAGAAGTTATGTGCCGTATATGGAGATGAAGCCTTAAAAGAAAGGCAGTGTCGAAATTGGTTTGAAAGATTTCGTGATTCCGGTGATTTTTCACTGAAAAATTCACAACGATCTGGCCGCCCAGTCGAAGTGGATGAAACCCATATCAAGGCCATTATCATCGATTCAAATCGTCACAGCACAACACGAGATATTGCAGAGAAGCTGCTCAATGTGTCGCATACATGCATTGAAAAAAAAATGAAAAACCCTTGGTTATGTCAAGAAACTTGATTTATGGATCCCTCACCAGTTAAAGGAAATTCATTTGACGCAACGGATTAGCATCTGTGATTCGCCGCTACTGAAACGCAATGAGAATGATCCATTTCTGAAGAACCTAGTTACTGGCGACGAAAAGTGGATAGTTTATAACAATGTTACTCGCAAGAGATCATAGGTGAAGCAAGATCAACCAGTCCAAACAGTATCAAAAGCAGAGATTCACCAAAAAAAAGATTATGCTGTCAGTCTGGTGGGATCACAAAGGAATTTTGTATTTTGAACTCATGCCGCAGAACCAAACGATAAATTCAAATGTGTATGTTGAAGAACTCGAAAAACTGAAGGATGCAATTGAAGATAAGCGGCCGGCATTATCAAATCGGAAGGGTGTTGTTTTCCATCATGATACCGCAAGGCCCCACACATCTTTGGTTACTCGGCAAAAATTATTGGAACTGGGTTGGGATGTTTTGCCACATCCACCATATAGCCCTGACCTTTCGCCTTCGGATTACCATTTGTTTCGTTCCATGCAAAACTCTTTAAATGGTAAAATTTGTAACAACGCGGATGATGTCGGATCACACCTAATTCAGTTTTTTAATAGCAAAGACCAGACATTTTACGAACGGGGAATTTTTACTCTGCCAGAACGATGGAAAAAGGTCATCGACAAGAAGGGCCAATATCTAATTGAATAAAGTTATATTTTTAAACAAAAATTCCGAATTTGCCTTCTTATTTGAAATCGGCAATGACTTAGTTGCCAACCTAATATAATAAGTTTATCGCTATAACAACGAGAACAGCGTATTGACCATAAAAATCTCCAAGTACCATAAAGAGGCAAATGAATAGATATGAAATCCTTTTAAGAACTATCGCCTGAAGTAGACAAGAAATATGCATGGGAGCTTGCTTAGTAAAATCAGCCAATCGTCATAGGGAAACTGGTCTCAAATGCCAATGCTCAATGAATAGACGTATATAATCTCTGAATTTATTTTCCCAATAAAATAAAGTGAAAAGCAACTTAATTTATTCGAATGACTGGTCCTCGATTTCATAGTCATTACATGAACAGTAACGCGAAATGTTCTATACTCACTTTTTATATGACTGTTCGCCCTCTACTTCAAATTCCTTGTCTACTTCGATAATGTGAAGAAGACGACCGGAAGGAATTGGACGTAGCATGGATTCCATCAGCAGGTCCAAAGTGTACAAATTGTGCTTTTTAGGTTCGAGTAAGCACTCGGGATAGAGGCTTTTGGGGTAGGGACGAGGAAGCACAAGGAGAGAATGACAGTCTGGTTTCTTCCATCTCATTAGCGAACGATCAGAAACATATAAACGGTCAACCTTTGTTGAACCTAAAGAAAGAAAATATGTAAGAGTTTACTGAGTGATTTGTTCGAGAATAATACATTGGCAAAGTCGATGGTATTGGCAATCAATTGGCAAAAATGTAGTTGGAGGAGCTGGGGGAGGGGTGAAAGTTTCGTCTAAAGTATCAAATCTAAACTAGGGTTGGGTGACACTAACTACGTTTCAGATAAATTTTCATTTAGTTGAACGGAAAGAATTTGAATGCCAATACGAACTCCTTTTGAAAGTGAGAAGTCCTCAATTCTTCTGTATCTTCTGCTTAACTTGAAATTGACTGACAGTGACAGGGAAAACAGCACAAACCCATCAATGACTATTCACTGCAATATAATATTTTACTTGTTGCTTTTTTGATCATACAAACCATTTAAAAATGAGAAGTAAAGTTAAATATTTATTTGTATCAAATGGCAGGCATTTTGATGGTTACCATTAGCCCTTTAGTTGACTTCAGGCTTCACAGAGGGGAAGAAACATCAAATTGAAACAAGTCAAGAGGGGGGGGGGGTGGCGTTAACAGAGGAGTGGTTCAAAGATGTAAGAGACGAACACAAAGGTAGAAAAAGGTGAGGTGAGTACTGTGGATATAGTCGAATATGACATACAATGGGGTGATGGTAGTTTGAAATCAGAAGTCAACTGCCAGTTAATAGACTTTTTTGCCGTATGAATATACGTTGCCCAAGGTGCACCACGTGGAGGTAAGTCTATCGCACACCCCGGGGTTAAAAGTTAAAGTGCAGTCTTACAGCTTTTCTCTATTTGGGACTGAAGCTTAACTCCCCCCCATAAGGGATGAGTCATTCTAAATTCCCAATACGCTCGCGCTATACATTGATATCTTCATCATAAGTGAAATATTTTACCTCTGTATTATCGCCCATGGGCGCTTATTCGGATGGGCGATATTTTTGTTCCAAAATGTGGTTTCATGAAAGGAAATTTGTGTCTAACCGACCTGGACGAATTTTCGAAACCCCGGTATTATCAATGCGGAATGTTTATGCAGTCTTTTGGCGGGAATAAAAACTCAATACACTTGGCTCGAACTCCATCTATGATCCTGCAAGTAGGGTCAAAATTTCTGCAAAAGAAGGGAATAAATGCCATTAAACTTGACTTATTGCCTCGTTCTAGCACTAATGCCAACATGTCTGACATATTCTCAGCTCCCAAGCAATATGAAAAACTGAGATCATTTGTATGCCCGCTGTGGTTGACGGAACCAGCTATTGGAAGACCGTCGTATTAAGCAGCACCTGAACGAATCTTATTTGGATAGCGTTTCCTTCAACATTTACAACGCAATCGTGCTAAATAGCAGTACTAGACGATGGTTTCGTTGCTATCTCAAAAAGAACCCCCCAATAAGAAATGAACAAGTTTCAAGAAAATCTCACCGACTACTCTATCCTTGAGATGGGGTTTGAATTTTGATCCAATAGGAGTCTCGTAGGCATCATTCATGTCAGGATCGATGAGTTTACTCCCTGTCACTGCGTCCAACCTAATTACTTGCGGCAATTTTGATTTGCAAACGAGATTTCTTGTGATGGTCAGACACATCTGGTTAGTGAGTGCCCGGAATTTTGGTGTCCTGTATACACAGAGTGCATGGAATATTCGTGCCCGCAGATCCTCCATTGTCTGACTATCGAGATGACCTATAAGATCGTAACCGTAGGTGATCGAGCACAGATAATCTCGAGTGAACTCCGCCAGATTTTTACTGGATTAAAATAAAGGACAATTCAACTTTGAATTTTATTTGCGATTTCGCAGAGAAACATTAGTTTATGAAAAGCAACCGATCTTATGTTTATCATCGTGGCGTGTACGATAGACTTACCGTCACGTGGTGCACCCTGGGCAACGTATACTCATACGGCAAAAAGGTCGATTAACCGGCAGTTGACTTCAAAGTACCATGACCCCACTGTATGTCATATTTGACTACTTTCACATTACTCGCCTCACCTTTTCTCTGCCTTTGTGTCTGTCTCCTTTACATCTGTAAATCACTCGTCTGTTCCCCACCCCTCGACTTTTTTTCACTCTGATATTCCTTCCCTTCTGTGGAGCCTGAAGTCAACTAAAGGGTTAATGGTAACTATCAGAACGCCTGCCATTTTATATAATTAAATAAATATTTATCATCGTCAAAACTCAGGTGAATGAGTGCTTCTGCGTCCATTGGCCTTGACGTTTTGCTACAATTTTCTTCCCATTACTCGTAAGGGGGTCACAATTCATGAGAAAGGCAGGAATTTGCGTATCCTTCTAAGATTCTCACCCCAAATGCAGCTGAAGCGTGCCTGCTTTGTCAGAGGTAATAAATAATTAAATAACTCGAGCGAACAAGCTGTATCAAACGACCATGGAATTGGATGCCTCAATTAGTTAGAAACCCGTCACTTGAGTGAGCAATGCGTGAGTCATTTTAACGTTCTCCTACCCGAAGCCATAGGTTGCGAGTTTAATGTCTGCCTTCTGTATTCCCATATTGAGCGAAATTGGAAATCGCACTGTTTAAGTCTTGCAGATCAACTGAGCGGCAGAATCTGTGGTTTTAATCAAAAGGCTCTTTGATTTTACCCATCCCAACCCCACCTCACTCCCTACCGCTTTCCAATGAAAAGTTAGGATAGCAATCTCCTGAGTAGGTTCGGTAGTCTTTGTATACTTGGTACATGATATGCGAAGCACACTTTAGGAACTATGTGGTTTTATGGTCATTATTTCTCTCAGCATTAGTTATAACAGGATGGAAAACCTTTGCCATTAAAGTTACCTCCCTACTTAAATTCTGTCAATAGTATTTGATGACCTGGAATTATACAATAGACCCAACTAAATTTATTTCTGCACCAATAAATGAATAGCAAAAGCCAAATCGGTAAATGCACATTTGAGAAATATTTGAGATGAAATGCATAGCACTTGAATGTTTTGAACAATCATTGTATTGAGTATTGGAAAAAAAGGAAAGCTCAAAATTGAGACCCATAACCAAATTAGAGTTTGCCTTCAGGAATCAATTTTAGCAAACTCGGGGTGCGCGATAGACTCACCTCCACGTGGTGCACCCTGGGTAACGTATTCTCATGCGGCAAAAGGTCTATAAACCGGCAGTCGACTTCTGACTTCAAACTTAAACCGGCAGTCGACTTCTGACTTCAAACAACCATGATCACCATTGTATGTCATATTCGATCACTTTCAACTTATCCTACCTTTTCTCTGCCTTTGTGTCTGTCTGTCTTTTTAACATCTTTAAATCACTCTTCTGTTCCCCCTCTCGACTTTTTCTCATTTTGATGTTCCTCCTTCCCTCTGTAAAGCCCGAAGTCAGCTAAAGGGCAAATGATAAGTGTCATAAAGTCCGCCATTTGAAATAAACATAAATTTTAGCAAACTCTAAATTCTGATTAATAAACTGTGAGAGATGTTGACCTGTCTAAATAGGATCATTGGATCACTAAAAAACAATGCTGAACGCATAACGACAGCCTTTATTGACAAGAATTATAACTCAATCTATAAATGTACAAAACATGCAATTAACATTAATAAAAATTAGAATTTAAACACAGGCAACTAAACAGTACCTATCGAGTAGGCGCTTAAACAATGAAATAGGGTATTCTAATACCTCTGAAACTGAGAAAAGAGGCACCACACAATTCCCCCCCCCCTCCCCCATCTATCTGATAAATTTGAACTGATTAGTGAAACGCGAAACTGTGGCCTTGAAAAAAACCAAAACCCGGCTTAATTTCCTCGAAATTCCCTCAAGACTAAGCTATAATCGCAAGCCCTGTTCTTACATTTAGATTAAGCCATTAAAGTCAGTTACGTCACTGGAGGGAAATTTTAACTAGAGGTAAATATAGATGCCGAAGCCGTACTTCATTTTAAATAAATAAAATAAATGCGAAAATGCATGGAGGAGTCTTGAAAAAGGTGTCAAACCTATTTTTTTATCTTAACATCAATTGCTAATTAAATTGTGAATATAGGAACAGAAATGGTGCAGTATTATTTATACTCACCGGCTTATTACATATTGAAACTTGAATTAAACTCAAATGTTGCCAACAAATATGACACCGACAACTAGCTTTAGATTATAAGTAAAATAGAATTGCGCTCTGCTGAAGTACAAGCACTCCAAATACTAACCACTGTATAAGGTATAAATCTAGAAATTAAATAATAAAGTAACATTTTTACTTCATGAGACCACCAGGAGGACTGAATGCATAGGCTTTGATCTCCGGGAAGTGAGGTTTCAAGAATACACACATCAGCGATACGAGACCACCACCAAGACTGTGTCCAGTAATGACCAAGGGATACTTCGGTCTCAACGCTTTCGCCGACTCAATCCACTTATCTTCAATGATTTTATTGGCAATGTTCCTTGACGTTCGAACCATTCCACTATGTGCGATGAGCTTCTGATCGTTAGGGAGACTATAGTCTTCATCACGAAGTGGTTCTCCAGCTGCAACTAGATCAATCAGCGTGTCTGTGCCCGACAAAGTTCCTCGAACAACGACAACTATCGCCTCGGTGATATCATCAATCACCATCATTAAGGCTGCGTCGTAGAACTGAACAAAAAAATTAACCATCAATTGGATTTCCTCGAATCATGGATAAGAAAGAAGAAGTAATTTCGAGTCCATCTTGGAAAATTTTTCAACAAAAATTTTAAATCGTTAACAAACTCTCTGACAGTGAACCCGAAACCAGCCAACTTCTTTATTTGTCTACAAGTATGTGGCTTCTGAACATAATTCATCGACTTCAGCCATTGAAAACTGATTTCCCAATCACTGGTTTTCCGAGCTCTCGACTAAAACTGTAGTCCAGCCAATGCTGCTCAAATGGGTGAAGTATTTACCAAACTATTTCTCGCTTACCTCAAGTGTTCCACTGCAGTCAATGGGCTTCCACCCATTTTTCCATCTGGATCTGTGCAATTTCAGCTTCGATGTTAACTGACACTAACACAGTGTCTAGCTTCGTGTTCAAAACGGCCTCCTACTTAAAATGATCGCTTAAAAAGTGATTTCATGGTACGAATGGACTTGAATGGTTTGTCTTTGTAGTGTTAATCCACTTGCCAAAAAGGAAATAGGGAGGATTTCTTAGGGATGGGGTGTTGGAGAACTTCATGCCAAGGTCAAATTAAGTCATCGATACCCAAGATTTTCCATTATCTCAAGCAAGTTAATGGAATATTAATCGGTGTAAGGCTAATAAAATCTTTCTGTCTGGCTCGCAGAGAATACTGAGCAGTATTCTCCACGACGATTGCCAAAACGTTAGGTGACGACTTGTTGGAGGCATGAACAAGAGTGAAATACATCGACACTTAGAAACTCGTATGGTTGCAAATGAACTTCACTGGATACCAAAAGTACTGAAAATTGGCATTCAAAATGTGCGTCATGACAAACCATTCAAGCAAATCAATTAGTTGGCAAGATTTAATTAATACAGACATAAATACACTTAGAAAAGCATAGGCAAGTCATCGATGGAAATCGAACCTTGGAATATTTTGGGCTTTCATGTTTCCTTGCGCCTCATGAGAGAATTCACAATACAAAGCTCCTAGAATTTCAATGAGCCGATATGTGCTCATTAATCTCCCCCACCGTATCATCTCTTAGCAGAGGGCGTTAGCAATTCTGCGTTTTAAAATGTTAACGCACAAATAAAATTTCCTCCCAATAAATTTAAGACAAAATGAATTATCTTAATTAGCATGCATGCTGTGCAAAATTCAAAATTTACTATAGCGTAGATAGTGTTGCTGGAATATGCGGCGTAATAAACAAGGAAATTATGCTATTATCAAAGAGACTTGCTCAAAATAATAGCCATTAGAGCCTACTAGCGTTCCAATTCGTCCTGACCTCGACGCAAACCGGACACTTGGAGCACGCCGATTTAACACTGCCTTAAGAAGGATCTAAAAACACCACTTCCATCCCATTGAATAACTGGACCCTGGTAGTACTGCCACTGTGATTAGTGAATTTCACGTCAACGACAAATACATACATACATACATACAGATGTATATATATATATATAATGCATTTTGTTGAGAGCTGGGAGTACAGAGACCAAATTTTGGAATTGCTATAGACTTAAAAATTGGCTAATAGTCATTATCCTTTCTTTCTCCGATTCCTGGGAGTGGAGTAAGTCTGCTGCCACGCATATGGCCAAGCAATTGGCTACTCTCATTTACAGTCCCGGGGTTAAACTATTCCAATGTACAATAATTCCAAGTGGACAACTCAACTCAAGCTAACCCCCCCCCCGTTGCAAAAGTTGAAGTAGGCATAGCACCAACCCCAGAGGAGAGGGGCGAATCCGAAAACGATGACATGACACGGGGAGTGCTCTTTGGAAAGCTGCATGTTGTACCTCTGATTATTGGCGCCAATTTTTTTACCATTGGAAAAGATCCTAATCATTTTTTTTCTTCAAGAGGATATTTCACTTTGATCAGAAGTTTTTTGCCCAATTTGTCAGACGACTATTCTCGTGGACCTTTTATAATTGAACGAGCTTGAGCTAACAAAGGACTTCTTTGAGTTGAGGCTTCATGACACGGGATGAGAGATTCAATTAACTGAGGCGACAAAGCCACAAGAATTGCGATGTCAGAATATGCCGATACAAGCATGACAAAATCTTAGGGAATCCTCCATGCGAGCGAAAGCAGATCAGGCCGTTTGGTTTGTTGCTTTCTTCTAGCCATAGATAGGACTGTCAAGTTCGTGCTGGGTTGGCTACAAGGTACTGAGGGACATCGAGCAGTGACAATAAACTACTTATTTTGATGGCTATCTCAATGCAAGTTATCAGTTGGATGTTTGCGATTATCCTCCATTCACGTGCTCATCACGTATAAGAGTGAAGAAGGATTCTGATTTTTAAAGGAAGTGTAATGCGTGTGAACATTTTTAACCCACTTGAAAAAAAAACAACCCAATATTATTCTGCACAATTTACTCAGATAACCCAGTAATCCTCTTATTATGTTGATAATACGGGGTGTGCGATAGACTTACCTCCAAGTGATGCACCCTGGGCAACGTATGCCCATACGGCAAATAAGTCTATTAACTGGCAGTTGACTTCTGACTTCTAACTACCATGACCCCAATCTATGTCACATTCGATCGCTTTCACAGTACTCATCTTACCTTTTCTCTGTCTTTGTGCCTGTCTGTCTCTTTTACATCTTTGAAACGGTTTTTTATTCCACCCACCTCCCTCCCCTCGACTATTTTTCACTCTGATGTTCCTCCTCCCCTCTGTGAAGCCTGAAGTCAACTAAATTGATGTTCCTTCCCCTCTGTGAAGCCTGAAGTCAACTAAAGCATGAACCTTCCCTCTGTGAAGCCCGAAGTCAGCTAAAGGGTGCTCTTCTGTTCCCCACTCCTCGACTTTCTTCTACTTCGACGTTCCTTCCCCTCTGTGAAGCCTGAAGTCAACTAAAGGGCCAACCTTCCCTCTGTGAAGCCCGAAGTCAGCTAAATGGCTACTTCCTCCTCCCCTCTGTGAAGCCTGAAGTCAACTAAAGGGCCAATGACAACGATCAAAACGCCTGCCATTCGATTTAAATAAATAAACGTTGATAATACTACACTTACCTTGTCAGTAATCTGAAATACGAGGATATGGCCGGTTTCTAATTGTGACATTTCCAAAAATGCAGCAAGGTAGCAATTTCGTCCCGCACACAGACATCCACCAGGTCCTGTAATTCCATTTTCAAGATCAACTTGCCGATCGGGGGCCTTCGGATTTCTATAATATTTAAAGTTAAAATATTTTAGAATTCCAATTTTAAAGACCACTAGGTTTACTTTGTTAGGCCGATTGCTGATAAAGAACTCAAGAAATAATAGCAAAGGATTCAAATCTAAATTGTTATAAATTGAATTGAAGAATTAAAATAAATGGTTATTCCACTTATTATTTACCAAAACATTGCAAATTACTTCACAAATTACAAGAATGATTAAGAATCAATTTCACTTCATTTACTTCGTCTTGTTCATCTGTTCTAGAGTTCAAAGGAGCTAATAGTGGTCATGTTCAGATGCTAATTCTGTGATTGCGCAAAGTGTGGTTGGATTATTATTTCTACTTTATTTATAAATATAGGAAACCAAGAAATCGATGCGATTTTGGTCGCTGTCAAACTTATATTGAGCATTCGTTGAATTTGGGTTTGTTCAACATTGCCACAAAGCATAGAAGATTAGTGGAGAATAAACATTTTTTATCGCCACCGCAATTTTGAATTCAGATGTAGCTAACGTTATGAATGGCCTAGTTACTCATTTGATGGAGCTAAAACTCCACATACGACTTTGGTGAGGGAAAGGAAGAGGACCCTTGGGTATGGATAAGATTTTATTATTTATTTTATTTATTTATTTAATTATAAAATGGCAGGCATTTTGATAGTTATCATTAGCCCTTTAGTTGACTTCGGGCTTCACAGAGGGGAGAGGAACATCAAAGTGAGAAGAATTCAGGAGGGGGAATAGAAGAGTGATTCACAGATGTAAAAGAAACAGACAACTACAAAGGCTCAAAAAGGGTAAGTTGAGTACTGTGAATATAGTCGAATATGACATGCAACGGGGTGATGGTAGTTTGAAGCGAGAAGTCAACTGCCAGTT